CTGAAAGCGATTTACTCTTTTGTAAATCGCCGGTAAACATACATTTCCGCTTTTGCATGTTGTTGGTGTACTGACAGCCACGCTATCTATATTCTGATTAAGAACAGGGCTGCCCACACTGACGCGGCTCAGGGATTACGTCACACGCAGTGTGGTGCGCAGTGCCCTAGTGCCTGTAAATTTAATGGTCCAATTAAGGTAATTTAAAAAATCAGGACATTTCCTCATTTTCTACAAAAAACCCGGGACGCCCGGCACAGGACGTGAAATATGGACATGTCCCGGGAAATACGGACGTTTGGTCACCCTAACATAAGTATCTGACAATGCTTTGAATGAGATTAGATGCTTCTGCAACTAGAAAAATGCAGAAATGTTGGCTGTAGCTTCCTGTCTGAAGCCTCAAATGAGAATTGCACAGATCCATCCAATCGTGAAGAACTTGGTCGTTCACATAGGAATGATGTTGCTAAGAGGAAGTCAAAATTGCAGAGACAGGATTAGAGTTCATAACACTAGGAGACAGTCTCATTTTAAAGCGTACATCAAGGGCCCTGTCCCGTCACCTTCAGCAGGAAATGAAGTGTTCAGAGTTTCCTACCTGAATAAATTCACCAAATGTGCCTGTTCTACAAGATTAATTGGCTTTATTGATAACATCTTCTGTGAAAAGGGACCCGAATAGAACAAATGGAATATCTTTGTTAAAAAAAAAAAAACTCTTCCTCTTTGCAGCCAAACACTTCCTGAAAGCCATAATCACCCCCCACCCCAACTTGCTCTGTCTACTTCACATGCAAGATGGTAACGTTGGTATTCAGGACCTTCAAATCACTTTGTTGCGACGACACACAGCTTTACATCACAATGTTACCAGGTGACTATGAACCCATCAGGGCATTGTGTAGATGCTTAGAATAAATCTATATTTGGATGCACCATAACTTTCTTCAACTGAATAAAAACAAATCTTAGGTAATAATCCTCAGACCAAAGTAAGAGAGCTTCATGGACTACAGCTGGAAACTACTGATTATGGCCGAAATGTTGGTGTCATGAGGGACTCAGACCTGAACATTCAGAGGCAGATAAAGACAGTTATACGGCCCTGGGCCTTGTGGGTTGTTGTGCAGGTGTCTTGGTGTCCGTTT